ATGGGAACCTTTCAGAGCTTCTGATGGTGCAAACAGCCCGCTGAGGCCCTTGCTCTAGGATCTTCTGAATTTTCTATCAATCCCTTTATCCTAAATGTATCGTCCCGGTCCGAGGGTTTCCCCGAGCCTGGGAGGCTGCTCTCATTGGCCCTTGAGTGTCCTCCGAGCCTGTGTGAGTTCTGGGCTAGGTCCCTGGCTGGCACCGTGGCAGGAGGTGGATGAGGGGTATTGAGGGGGTGGTACAGGTCCTGGGGACATGCCCACAGAGGGCACAAGGTACCATTCTCTCTGCTGCTGTGCCTGAGCCCCGAGACAAGCAGCTCCAACCACCACGTGCTCCCGCCAGGTTGTGAGCCTCTAGGGCCCAGAGCCAGGCAGCTGTGGGTCACAGACAGGACCCCCACACTGAGCCGGAACAGCGTGTCCTCTGTGTGTGGGACCGTGCAGGCACTGGTGAAGGGAATAGCAAGTTGGCAGATGCCTCTCGGGTGGGCACAGCTGGCCTGAGACCTTGGCGGCCTCTGCTGGGGCTAGGCACCGTCAGATGGCCCTGTTTGGGCCCCACAGCACTGCCCTCCTTTGTCCACCTGTGTGGCTCCAGGTGGGCCCCTGGGGAGCACTGATGACCAGCATTTGCTGGGGGCCTGGGGAGCCATGGGGCAGGTGGCACCCCAAGTGACAGCCTGGGTGTATTTACAAAGGGAGCGTCCACAGTTGTAATTCCCAGCAATGATTATCTACTATTTTAAAGATAATTATGACCGGAACCTTTGTCAGGCCCTTGTGAGTAGCCGGCAGACCATAATGAGAATATTCTTAAAACTTCGTTGCTTTTTTCCAAAAAAATCAGGAAAAAACAAAACAAAACATGAGTGAAATAGCCATCAGCCTGGGTCATTGTGTCTTCCTCTGTCCCTTCTGTGGCCAGTCCGGCAGGCCTGGAGACTGGCCTGGCCCCTGCTGTGGACTGCGTCCCCATGTGTAGCCCCAAGACCGTGGGTGCTGGCACAGCCTGTGCCTCCCTCTTCTGTGGCAGGGCCAGCCCGGGGTCATCATTCCCTTGAGGTTTGGTGCTCAAACTACAAGATGCTGCTTAGACACAAACGGAAGAGAGGGAGAGTTAAGTCAGCCCTTTCTGTGAACAAGAAACTTACCAAGGCGAGTAAATTCACTGGCAAATTACAGAAGCACAGTGGGGTGTTTTTCCAATGCCATTGGTGAGGCTGTGCTGATTATTCTGAAAGACTCTTGCGGGAGGTTGTAGATCTGCTCGCTGGCTCACAGAAGGGCATCGAAGCATCCATTTCACCTACAAGAGAAAGGCTTTCCAGCTTCTTTTCCAAGACTCAGAGATTTCTGAGCAGTTGTGTGGTGCTTTCCCTTGAGGGGGGAAATGCGTGCTGGGAAAATGTTATTCAGATCCAGCCACAGGGTGGTGGATCTCTCCAGATGCATATTTGCAAGACATTTGGGGCTATGTTAACACAAAATTAATTCCTGTGTTATGGCTCTCAAACAGATGTTTTCAACTCGGGCAGGCTCCCAGTCACTTAGGGAAGCGGGTAGCATTGGGGCCAGGTTGTTTTCTCTGCTGGTGTGTGTAAATTTGTCCGAAAACTATTTGTGCCTCATGGAAAATTGGATCTGCTGACAGAAACATCTATTTTTAAAGCTTGGAGATGGAAGTCAGTGGGAAAGGCTTGGAAGTTATCTCTGCCCGAGAACTCGGAGGTGGTCAAAGGTGTTCCTGTGAGATGAGTTGCAATTTGCGGGAAATGTTTTGCATAGATTTCCCTTTGAATTTGGATCAGAGCAGGATTGTGAGGCCGAGTTTAAAACAAATGCAGCCAATGGGGAGCTCACGGCCTCGGGACCTGAACCCCAGCGGTAAAATTATGGAGCCCTGTGTCTCTTGTCTTCCATTACTGCCTTCTGAATTCACAATCTGTTCTTTTTCATATTGAAAAGACCTAGAATTGGGTGAGTAGTAGAAATGTTTATATAACACGACTTGGAAAATGAAAATATTTGCTTCCCAAGCAGATTTCCTGGTCATTTAAACTTAGTGAAGCAAAGCAGGCATCACTGTGAATTCTGAGTTAAGGTTACTTTAGGGTGCAAATTTGCTTATTTTCAGCAACATAATTTGAGTTTAAAACTTTTTTTTTGTTTCTTCTTTCCTTTCTTTGTTTTCTAAAGTAAAATTCAGAGCTGTGTGACAGCTGGGCACCCTGCCGCTGGTCTTCTAGGAGCAGACCAAAGCTTTTCTGTATTCAGTGCTGAACCTGTTTCACTGAGACTGAAAGAAAGAAAAACCCGGGCCCCGCGCTGTACATAGCTCCTGTCAGCGCAGCCCTGGCTCCTGCTGCTCCATGCGTGTTTGATTCCGCTGGATCATAGCTGGGCTCTGTAGGAACTTCTCAGAGGGCACTTTCCTGGCAGAGGAAGTGGCAGAGGGTGCTCAGTGGCGCCCTCGTCTGGAGCCTGCATGCGGCGGGTGGAGCTTGGAGCTTCTTTGTGGGCATCCATGGCTCTCTTTATGATTCCAAACTACTAAGGGATCTCTATTGTGGCAGACAGAATGAAAGGAAACAGGACCTTAGTTCTGCAGGATTTTCCTCCAGGGAACCGGGGAGCCTCTTTCTCAAAGTCAGACTCTTTCTCAAAGTTACTGCCCACAGCACTCAGCTTGTTAATACTGCTGTGTGTCTGTCTGTCTCTCCTCTCCTCCTTTCTGTCCCTTTCTCCACATGTCTTTCCACCCCTACTGAATTTCATCCTTCAAGTCTGTGGCCCCATCCTCCACCTCCCTGAGTGCCACAGTGGCCAATGTGACCTCATCTGGCCCCGTGTCTTCCGGGGCTGCCTCTGAGGGCTCCTGGAGCGTGCCGGCTCTTCCTCTCACCAGGAAGCACAGTCCTCTCTTCACATGCTGGGCTTTGCTCTCCTGGCTGCCTCAGCCGCTGTCACCTCTGCATCAGGAGGGCAGTGTCTTGTCCTTGTCATCTGCTGTCACAGAAGCCCCACGTTGAGGTGGCCTGGGTCTGAAGACCCCTCTTCTCTCCCAAATTCCAGTCAATCAAAATCTAAAACAAAAGAGGAGAGCACACGGAGACGGAAAGCCTGAGACCCATCTAAAGCGGATCCCAGACCATGCATCTCAGGTCTCCAGGCAAGAGGGTTCACCCATCACTGCCACAGCTGAGCAAGTGTTCGTAGAGTGGGCTTTGTCTGGGCCAGGGGATCTCCATCTCCGTTCTGGGGAAGCTTTCCAGTTTTCTTTCTTTTTTAGTCAGATGTCCCAGAATGAGGTCTGTAAAGACTTGTTGAATAAGCAAAACCTTTGTTGTATATTTTCCTGAATGTTTTCATTTAGTTTGGACCAGAAATGTTGGGAGACATAAATTGTTTTGTAAACGTTTATGTGTATGTGAGCGTGTGTGTATGTGTGTAAGTGTGGGCATGCACTTTGGGAGTGCCATTGCCCCAACTTGAGTGTAGGCCAGATGCAACAACTCACCTCTGACAACTATGCAGTGTGATCAAAGAACACAAAAAATATTCAGTGTTTAAACGTTACAGTAAAGGACACAGTGCCATGAATCACCTCAGAATCTTCCCCATAGTTGCAAACATGTTCTATTTCTCTTGCTGCTTTCTGAAGCAGTTCTGGAATCTTCTTTCGTGAGGTTCTTCAGCAACTTGAACTGACCAGGTAAGGATCAGTTGTTGTTGTTTAAAGGGTCAGTTGTTGTTTTAAAGATATTGTTCTTTAAACTTAGAAGTTAAGAGATGAACCGGCAGAGAGATGCTGTCACCTGGTAATCCTTGGCAGGAAGGCTGGCGGCTGCTCTGTGGCCAGTCTGTGAGTGGGAAGAACCACAGATGCCTAGTGTTGTGAGGAAGAGGAGAATGATCACACAAAGACTGAGGGACAGGAGGCTGTTCTAGAAAAAGTGCACGAGCGTTCACCTACATTAAATCAAATTGAAAGTTTTCGTATTATCATAAATAACAAGCTTAATGAGTTCAACATGGAGATTATTAAAAAATCTTTTCAAAGTAAATGCTTTTGCTGTTGAACAATCAGGCGACAAGAGTAATGTTTTAACCTTACGGGTTCGGTGCCTGTCGTTACTCAGATTCTAGGAAGGGTTGAGAATGTTAAAGATGAGTACATTAGAGCCTTCCCAAGGGTCTGATGAGGGCAAGAATTCCCCAAAATTGGGTTTCTACAGCACAAGAAGGGAGGCGGGTGGCTCGTGTGGGATGTCAGTCTGGTCCAGGGAGCTCATGCCTCGATAGGAAGCCTCCGAATTCCACACGGCCACCTCGAGTTCTTCCAGGGGTGGGAGTGGCTTTTGTTGCCTTCGATGCAGTCTCTTCTGTGCCAGGTCCAGGAGACCACTGAGTGTCTCTGAGCAAAGCCTCCAAGGGCTCACTTCTTTACCTGCTTCATTCATTCATTCCACAAACGCTAGTGGGGCCTCCTGTCCTGCAGCCCTGTGTCAGGTCTTGGAGATGGCCGCCAGTTGAGCAGGCCAGGACCTGGGGAGATGCCATCTTTCATGTTGACTCTCAAACCCATTCTATGGGGACACAACTGTGGCTGCTGCTACCTGGATGCCTCTGAGAAGCCCTGAAATAAAGATGTCCACTTAACCCTTGATGTCCTGGACACAGGACCCAGGGGCCACCTCTCCCATCCATGCAGGACTGTTCCTTCTTGGGATTTATGCTGGGTCTCAGGCTGCAGATGAAACTGCTGGCTGGAGGGGCAGTGGCAGGAGCAGTGAGGCTCAGAATCCCCTGCCTTCTTTCATACCCTTGTCCATCTCAAGGGCTCCGCAAAGAAGGGCTAGAGTGAGCTGCTGTCTTGATCTGGCCCAGGATCTTTTGTTTCAGCTGTAACATTGTCTGGGGGCCAGGGGCGGGGTGGGAATAGCACAGAGTCTGTGTGACTGGGATGCTTTTCACTTTGAGGGGCACCAGCTGTCAGCCAGAGAACATCCTCTGCTCCGTGGCCCTCCCTGCTGGGGAAGTAGATAGAAGGGATGTGTGGGGGCTCAACTAGGCTCTTTTAGGAACATTCCGGCACATCCACGAGACCCTAAGGGAGACAGACTGCATTCCGGGAGCCCATCACAGGCGTACGGGGCCCTTCGGGGCTCAATCCGTGCATGGTAAGGTAAGCAAAGCACACGGTGCTTTTTGTCCTTCAGTGGCCCTGGGGCCCTGTTATCTGCTGTTTTCTGGGAAGCTGCTCACCACATAACTGTTGGGGAAAGAGAGCACTCCAGCCTCTTTCCTGGGAGGCACACGATGCAGTATGGATATTAATTAAATTTATTAAACAAATAACACAGTGATTGGGGAGCGGGGTCCATCTGCCAGCGCAGCATCCAGCTCTGCAGAGACGCGAGCCGCATGGCGGTTACGGTGCATCGTCGGCCGAGCGCACAGATGGCTCCCTCTCCAGCGAGGAGATTTGGTGGCGGTCCAACAGCCTGCTTCCCCCTCCAGGTTTTTGTTCCCTGCAACTGTGACTGAAGAAGCCCCTCTCCGCTCAGTCTTTTCCCAGCCTCCACCTCCCCTACCCCGCCCTCCTCCCTTTGTTTGTGAGAACAGTGTTCAAATCCTTTACAGGAGCACTCTGCTCTGCTTGGATGAGGGTGATCCCAGCTGATCTCACTTTGTGCCTGTGCTGTGAAGCTCAAGCGGAAGGCAGCTGGGAAACGCAATCCTGTCAGCTTCATGGGGACTCAGGCCTCGGATTGGCCCTGGGCTTGAGAGTAAAGTCTTTAGGCAATTTGAGTTTGGCCATGTCCTGCCTGTACCCCAAGTGCCCTTGACTCTGAGGTTTAGATGAAGCCTCTCGTACTGAGAGTTACTTCTCAGGTCCCTTCAGTCCTCTGTGACCTCAGACTACACAGTGTCAGGAGCCTCTGTGTTTGGCTCCTTTCTGTCCCCTGGCGTCTGCCATATCCTGTCTGAGTGTTGGGGTGGCTGAGGCCCAGGGCCCCCTCCCCTGCCCTGGGGGAGACAAGCTCAGCACGAGGTGTCCCACTGTGTCACGGACACCCACCCGGCCTAGATTCCTGCTATGGGAGGACGCTTTTCTGTCCTGGGTTATTGCTGCTCTGGCCAAAGTCCTCTTGGACTGAATTTAACACCAGGATATTAGACTAAGAGAAATCCCTTTCACCCCTTCTCCCTACCTGAACCTTTGCAAAACTCATGTTGCAGCAGGACCGCTCATCACTAGTGCACCTCTCATCTGGGACCCAAGCCTTCACAAGGAGCCACACAAAGCCTGTGGGGCAGAGGGACAATGGTCTTGGCCTGAACAGATGCCCTCTTGGGCTAAGCACTGGCTCTGTGTGCACACGTGGATCTGCATCCAGACAGTCTGCTTCTGACAGCTGGTGGCCGGGGTGGGGCGCCTCTGCAGGAGAAGCTGCTGGGATCTGGACGGAGGCCTCCTGACCCATCACACACCCCATTTCCAGGTCGCTGAGGTCTCAGCTGGCTTCAGAACCCAGATGGAATGGTGCCTGGGTCCAGGATTATGGTCACCCTGCAGTGCAGTGAGTTATACAAAGGGTAGGCCGAGCCTTAACCCAGCTTGAAGAGGACCCAGCACAAGGCTCAGCTTCCTGAGGTTCCAACGCTTTTCAGATGGCCCTGTCTACCTTATCGCGCTCAGCCAGTGGATTCCTGCACGGCCATAGCAGCCAAGCCTTGATACTGGTAGTCACTGGTGAGTTTTGAACCCAGCCTGCAACCCTGATCCCCTCCAGGAGAAAATATTTCCCGAAGTGGAGATGAGACTTTGCCCACTCTAAGAAATCCTAGCTCCACGCCAGACCAGGCTAATGGTAGTGATGGGAAGGTTTCCCTTACTATGGCAAATCCCCAGAATTTGGTGGAGGTTGTGGCTTTTCCATGAGATCCTGTCCAAAACTATCATGAGCTTGAAGAGCTGTGACTCTCTGGTCTTAAATGCTCAAACTGGGATCTCAGAGTGGCTGCTGAAAAATGTTGTTTACCCGTGAGGAGGAAGAGGTGAGCAGTCCGTTTGTTTCTCTAATTGGTTGGAAGTCAGGTCTGCTGGGGGAGGAGAGCAGAGCACATTTCGCATTCACGGACTATTTACCACCACGTCCATCTTCGCGTGGCCGGCCGCTCCTCCACCCGGAGTACCTGGGCTAATTTCCTTCTCTGATTTAAATAGCAATCTACTCACTCTGGCATCTCAATTTAAGAGAAGATTGGACGTGGTTTTTCAAAGGGAATTGAAGGCTTTCCACTCTGGCCTGAAAACAGATTGTGGCTTCTTTCCCTTCGATACACTTAGAAATGACACAGAAGCCTCAGGGTTTTATTTGTAGCAAAAATATTTTCCACCCTCTTGTCCACACATTAGTATAAACAGGGCACATGCCTGCCTCTGGTCGATTCCCAGCCGCCATTTAGGGCACACGCTCGTTTCCCTGGGGCTTTGAGCTGCCTTCTTGCAGACTTTGTAGACAATAGTACATGTACCCAAAGCTTTCCATTGAGAACAAAAGTTAGCACAGCTCTCTAAGAGTGCACGAGAGCTTTGAAAATAAGATTTCATTACCTGCTAATGCCGGTGCGGATTTTAGGTGTTGTTTTTACTTGTGTTCAGCTCAAGGCCCCTTTGACCCCTCCCCTCTGTTGTTCCCTGCTCTTCTCGGATGAGCTGTGGCCACTGATGTGGGAAAGCACTGCTCCCCTAATGTCGAGACTGTCCCAGGGTTAAGTGCTGCAGCTTCCCAGAGCTGGCTCCTTCTCGTGGGCGAGGGGCACAGGATGAAACCCTGCTTGGAGCTCCTGGGGTTTCTAGCTCAGCCCTGGAGCTGGGCAGGCCAGCTTCCGGTCTCACACCTTAAGGGTCTCAGTCTGTCTCTGCTGCCCTGGTCTTAACTCTGGGACCTGGTCCACTCTGCCGAGAGTCCACAGGGTCTTCACAGCCCTGAACACGATAAACATGGCTTGCTTGTTGACTAAGATTCACATTTATTTTGGGGGAGCCAAGCAAAATAATGCAACTCTCTGTGTTTTGGCCTGGGGCCCTCAGAATCCACCAATGTTGGAATCCTTTATCTTTGCAGGGCTTCAGGAAACTGCTCTAGATTCTTGTAATCCAGACTTCAGTGATCAAACTGACTGAGGCCCTGAATTGTGCGATTCTTTTGTCTTTATGCTACAGTAGATTTCTTTTTCTTTCTTGTTTTCCTCTCTCTCTCTCTTCTGTTTGTTTCTTTTTGTGTGTGACAGGACTTGCTTTGGAGCCCAGGCTGGCCTCAGACTCAGGCAATCTTCCTGCCTCAGCCTCCTCAGTGCTATAATTACAGGTGTGCACCACCACACCCAGTTTAATTTCTGAATTTCTGAATGTTTTATGTGCTCAAGGTGTATTCCATATGTTGGTGAGAACAGATTCAAGGTCGAGAAACTCACAGTGGCTCCTGGAAGTGACCATAATGAAGTTACAGCTCAGTGGCCACAGCAGTGCCTCTGTCTAGACAGTGGCTCTATAAACCCTATTTAGTGACAGACAGTGGTGCTACCCCAACCCCCATCCTCTCTTAAGTGTTTTGCATACGTCATGTCACTTGATCCTAGAGCACACGAATATTATCATTTTAGAGATGAAGAAATTGACACCCCAATGCTAAATGACCTGCCCAGAGCCCAATCTCATTAGACAAATCTAATGTAAAGCCTCATATGTAGCCAGTATTAAAGTGGAACCAAGGCAGTGCACTCCGAGCCCCATGTAAGCTAGTCTGTCCTGCTGCTGCCCGGTCCAGAGCCGCTGACAGTTCATAACTTATTCAGCTCCAAAAGGAAGCTGCGGCCTCTTCAAATAAAAGTTCCCATAAAACAGCACAGTTAAAACCCAAATAAAAGGATAAATCATGTGGGAGCCCTTCATGATTTTAGAAACAGTAATTCCATCTCCCCTAAGCCTGTGCTGAGTTAAACTTGCCGTTCTCTAACTTCCTTGCTGCAGTCAGAAGAATGGGGTGTCCGGGGACCTGAGCTCTGTGGGCGCGGGGTCTTCTTGCTGTCGTGTTCCAGTGCCTCAGTACTGGCACTAGGTACTCTGGGGGAGTGGCCAGAGAAGGAAGCTGCACTGGGGTGCTGGTGCTGGTGCAGCTGGTGCTGGCTGCCCAGGGCAAGCATGGGGTGCGGGCCAGGGAGTAGATGACAGAGTGTCTGCCCTCCCCTCCAGGGGCCTGTGTACTCTTCTGGATCCTCTGTCTGCATCGCTATAAGCCCCCTGGGCCCTAAGGATAAGGCAGGATGTCACACACACACACACAACACACACACACACACACACACACACACACACACACACACACTCACGGCTGGCTTCCCCCTAGGATCCCGTCCTGTTATCCACTGAGATTTACTGAGACAGGGTGGTTCATCAGGAGGAGAGATGCTGATGGCCAGGCCTGCACACAGGAGATGAGGCACAGTGTCACTTTTCCATCACTGGGACACAATACCTGACACCCACAACATAAAGGTGGAGTCCATTTTGGCTAATGTTTCAGGCCATGGCCTGCCGGATCCAAGACAGGAAGGCCTGGTGGAAGGGTCTGGCAGGAGAGAGCTGCTCACATCATGGCAGACAAGAAGTAGAGAGGGGAAGGAGCTGGGGAGGGCCACTCCCTGGTGGCCACCACCTCCGACCAGGCCCCACCTCCTTGCCGCAAGCCTGCTCTGGCACCCCTTGATCCCATCAGCATCCACAGGCCCCGCCTCAGAGTACACACAAATGGAAACCCTAGCAGGCCTTGAGCCGAGAGGCTCAGAGGGGCCGGGCTTTGTGTGTGCTGTGGTGCTGGTTCTACCTCTCAGTGGGCCTCGATCACCCCAGGACCTGTGCTCTAGGCCTCTGCATGGCTGTGGGGCTCCTCAGGAGTTTAAGGTAGATTCCCTTACGACAATAGTGTGCTCCCACAGACTTGCGGAAAGCAGAGAGATCCCTACTCTATGCCATGGTTTATATTAGACATCTCCCAAAGCCACCTGTGCTCAAGGGCAGGGTTTGGAAGGTGCATGTGTTAGGGATGCCAAGCTGACTCTCTGTGGAGGTGGGCTCAGGTGAGGAGAGGCTGTCACTGCGGGGTGAAAGGCCCCACCCTGTGCTCTCTTTGGAGCTGATCTTCAGCCTTGTGTCTCTTTTTGTAGTGTGGACTCCACCATGTTCTTCACCAGATGGCACCAGGTAATTTACAGAAGACAGAGCTTTATTTCCCTAAGTTCTGGAGGCCAGGAAGTCCAAGACTGCGGTGCTAACAGGTTTGGTGTCTGTGAAGGGCCCAGTCACCACTTCCAGGAGGGAGCCATGATCCCTCCAGAGGGGAGGGACGCTTCTCCTCATGTGGCAGAGGTGCACTCCCAAAAGCCACTTAAGAAGGCAAAACGCACCCATTTCAGTAGCCCGAGTGGTCCCATCGCCACATGCAGGTCCCACCTCTTGATTGTAGACGAGAGCACCCATTATGGAAACCAGCATGGTGGCCTCAGAGTCTCACTACTGGGCACCTGTGCCGATCAGTTTTCCTGTTGCATCTGAGACATAAAGGAGAGGCTGGATTTGGCTGGGGTTTCAGGGGACTCAGTCCTTGGCTGGCTGGCTAAGGGCAGGGACATCATGGTGGAAGGGCATGTAGAGCACTGTCAGAAGGGGAACAGTACCAGAGCGAAAGGGGCCAGGGGCTGGATACAGCATTTAAGGGCCCCCCTCTGTGACCCACCCAAACTCACCCAGGAGTGTGCCTCACTACTCCTTCGCTGGGTCCCAGAAATCAAGCGGAAACTCTGTCTTTCCTGACAGCGCCTGTCCCGAAGGAACTGCATCACAGTGTCAAGGAGACATTGCATTTGCATGTCTCCCACACTTCTACTCACAAGAGCCCAGAGGGGTCCACTACGGAGGGATGATAAGGAAAAGGGGTGTAGACGCTCAAGACAAGGTTATTCCACTGTGAAACGGATTCTGTCCTGTGGCAGCACCGTCGGGGCCAAAGGACAGTGAGCTCTTCAGACACCAGGCGGCAAGGACCACACTGCTCACTGGGGTGACATGAACCAGGGGGGCGCCCTCTTCATCTCTGACAGGTGTATTCCCGCCCTTGTCAGAGGTCACTGAAATCCGAAGTTTTGGTCCCATTCTCCAGAACGTCATGGCTTCAATGTACTTATTTAAATTTACAGGGAAAGATTAATGTTTTTACTGCACAAAACTTCCTGCCCCAAAATCAGAACTTCACTGCTCCCACGCTGCTCCAGTGCCTGCTTGTTCCCCGTGTGTCAGAGGTGGTGACCGCTGGGAGCTGACAGATCGGGCACACTGCACAATACAACAGCGGCCTTGCCCTGCCCTCCCTGAGCTCTGCATGGAGCAGGAGGCAGATGTCACAAAACTGGCACCCAGACAGCCAGAGTTACTGCAGTGGGAGGAGGAGGGCAGACCTGGGCTTCTCCAGAGACCGTTCAGGCACTGCCACCCCTGTGCATGACCAGTGTTTGCAAAATGACTTTTCAAGGGAGGAATTTTTCACCTTTGCTTTTCTTTAGTGTTCAAATGCTCTGTCGCGTCCACATTGTCCTTTTTATAAAAGAAAAGGGCGGAGGATTCAAAATAAAAGATCATGGAGTTGTATCGTTGTATTGTCGTTCTCTTAGCAAAAAGTTCATTAATTTGTTGACTCTTTTGAAATGCCCATTTCTCTCTGTGTCTCATTATGAAGTTTAAGGGTCACAGAAAATGTCTAGTCATGGAATCTTTCCATTTAAAAGAAGCAGAAGGGAAGCTGGAGAAACACACATGTGGGGCTGGATCATGGGTGTGTGCCTCAGGGCTCGCCCCATCAGGTTGTCCTTCTGTGGGCGGCATCTGCGGATGGGCTTGTAGGCTGGAGAGGATGGAAAGTGAGGGGAAAGAAGGCGCCCAGTGGGGGAAATGGTGGTTAGAGCTTGGTGTGCGACGGGGAGCGACAGAAGACAAGCCAGGAGGCAGGAACATTCTGGAGTCCTTGGTCCCCTCCTTGCTGTGGGGAAGGGTGGGCAGCAGTTGTGTGTGAAGCATGAGGCAGGGGAATGCCACCATCCGCATGTGTGTAGATGCCTTACCTCCTTCCCCAGCCCTGGGTGCTTGTGTAAAGCATGGCAGTCAGGGTGTCTGTGAGTGTGTGTGTGTGTGTGTGTGTGTGTGTGTGTGTGTGTGTCTGTGTGTCTGTGCTGCTCACTGCTCAGATTCCTTTCCATGGCTACAGTTCAATGTCAGAGCAGGAGCTTTGGGGTCAGGTCCACTGGAGTCTGTGCCAGGGTGCCATCCCTCTTTCCTGGTCACCTCCTCGGCAGCCAGAATGTATCTCCCATGACTCTGGAGGCTGGGAAGCTCAGTACCCACTGGTCTGGTGTCTGGTGAGGGCTCCAGGCCCGCTTCCAAGATGGTGCCTGGACTCTGTGTCCTGCATGGGGGTGGTGGTGGTGGTGGGATCCAGTCCTTCAAAAGGCCCAAACCACTGGTGAAGGCTTTGCCCTGTGACTTCCTCTCCCCAAAAGTCTAACTCTTAACACCTCCGCAGTGGGGCCTACATTTCAACGTGAATCTTGAGAGGTCATCAGCATACTGTCGCAGCTGGTGACAGGGTGGTATCTATGGTGCTCACTTCCTGAGTCTCACTCTCTACCACCAGGCTGCCAGTGCTGCTGTCTGAGGAACTCTTCTTTGTTTGCTTGCAGTACTGGGGATTGAATCCAAGAGCACTCTACCACTGAGCTCCATCACCACGCCTATTTATTATTTTATTTTGAGACAGGATCTTAATAAATCATCCAGGCTAGCCTCAAAGTTGTAATATTCCTGCCTCAGCCTCCCAAATACAGTAGCTGGGATGACAGGCCTGGGCCACTGAGCCTGGAACTATTAATATTTTAGGTCCATGGGCAGGAATGTGGTGCTTGGGTCAGCCTCTGTCAGCATGCATGATGCTGGGAAACATTTAATCAAAACTGGAGTAAAGCAAACAGGTCTATTCTACTCCCTGAGAACTGATACCATTTCTTTGTTCTGGCCAACATGCATGGGAGCGTACGCCAGCGGCAGAGAGCTGCTGCCTGCCTGTGAGTGACCTTATAACCAGAGGTGCTCTAAGCCTTCTCCTGGATGTGCTATTACTGGGTGGGGTTCAGGCAGGACAGCAGGGCAGTGGGGAGATGGAAGTGATGCCAGGCAAGGCTATGGTCTGGCACTCAGAATGGATGCCTGATGTGCAGGAGGAGATCTGCCTCACGATCCAGAGTCCTGGGGTGCTAAAGATGACACATGGCCCCAAATGGGGATAGCAGTCAGGTCAGGGGACTCAGGCCCCCCTGGGGACATTTGGACTGTCTGGCCCTGGCTCAGAGCTCTCCTCGAAGCCAGCTCCTCAGGGACCCAGGAGCGGCAGCACTGACTTGGCCTCTGCCGAGTGGGCACTGCCTGACCTGCAGAGCTGGCCTGCAGAGCCCTGCCCCACCACCCTCCTCTGCCTCCAGGGAGGCATAATCCCGCTCCAGACAGTGCCCGCCAGGACTCAGCCAATTTGTTCTCCCCATGCTGCTCCCTAATCATCCGTGCCAGGTCTGGGGTGCCACTCGGGAGCATCTTGCTTGTCTGTTTACGTCAGGAAAACATGGTACTGAGCACTTAGTAGAGAAGATGAGCCTCTTTTCATTACATGAAGTAACGTCAAAACACTAATAATGGACTCTTATGAGTCAGCTTAGAGTGAATCTAGGAACAGCACCAGCCTTAAGAAGCTCCCCAACACTGTGCTGTGTGGGTCCCCCTCTCCTCTAGCACCCCTGAGACATCAAGAAAGGGTCACTTCAAGGCAGGTTTCTTTGTGGCCCCAAAGGGAATGACCTGGCTTTATTTGGAAAATCTGAATAACTGTGAATTAGCCAATGGTCACCAAGGATTGTCTTTGCATTATGCTGCTGTCCTGTGCACATAATAATACAGGTCCTTAAATTGGTTTTAGGGCTGAGTGTGGTGGTGCATACCCATAATCTCACCACCTGGGAGGCTGAGGCAGGAGAGTCACCAGGAGTTCTAGGCCAACTAGGGCTCCATAGTGAGATCCCATCTCAAAAGCAAACACCTTGATTTTAGGAAGTCAGTGTCACACAGAGCCTTCCTTCTCTGGAGGTTTGGGTGGCACTGATGCAGAGAACCACGAGCCATGTGTCACCGGAGACCCAGACGCCAATCCTGGGCCTGCAGGGAAGGTCATGGTAAAGCTCGCTTTGAGAAACCTCTCGGTTTAAGTGTTGCTTGAGAGGCAGGTGACGTCCAGGACTCCAGGCCACTGCTTTGTCTTGGCTGTGTGCAAGTTAAAGCCCATCTGCCTGTGGGCTCTGGGTGCCTGTGCAACCACAGAGCCCACTAAGGGCCACAGTGCTAAGGCCGCTCTGCTGGTCACAGAGGCCCAGGTCAGGCCCTGGGTCAGGTCCTGGTGCTGCTACCAGAGTGGGGAAGCATTTGGAAGTGGGAACTGGGGCTGCCCACAAAGGGGGAGGTGGACCCTGCACCACGTCCACCTCTTTCTCAAGCACCCAGTGAGCATGCACAGAAACCTAAAAGGAACCCTTTCTTCTCCACAGTTCAGCACCTGGAGTTTTGTTACAGCAGCAGCAGCAGCAGCAGCAGCAGCAGATGGACGCAGAGGACTTGCTCTCCACAGCCTCCTCCAGTTTGCACAAGAGCAGTGGCAAGGACAGGAGTGCCCTGCAGTAGAGGGTACCGGGCTCCAGACATGGAGACCTAACTCAGTGTGGCCACATAGCTCCGCCCACACAGCGTCATTGGAGGAGATTTTGATTGAAGTACCTCAGACTTATAACGGTCAGAGGGTGATGGAGAGTCACCAGCTCCACAGGAGAACAGGCCTTGTGACCCCGCAGACCCACAGGTGGAGGTCACGGAGGTCCTCTTTGGTCCTTCCTCAGATTTCAGCCACCACGAGAGGTGAACAGCCTCCTGATGCTTCAGAACTTTGGATAAGCAGGGTTACACGGTGGGCACTTTTGTGTTTGGTCTTCCCCGTCCCCCAGAATTATGTCTGAGCTCTATAGTGTGATTCTAGGTGGCAGAATCACTGGTCTCCTGGGCACACACTCCCATGCATGGATCCACCCTGCTGTCGACCAGGTTTGTGCTGCTTCTCCTGGGGCGGTCAGGTGCCCTGGAGTTGTGGCAGCTTTCGGCCTCCAGGGCTCATGCGGATGGATTTCTGCTGGCTTCATCCCCAAGAGCTGGGTCACAGGCTGTGTGCTTGTGCAAGTTCAGTGTGTTCTGCCAATGAGCTTTTAAACTGTGTGTGAATTCATGCCACCCCAGCAGAGTTTTGATTTCTAGTTGAACTGCACCCTCACCAACACTTAACAAAACTGTATCTGTGCTTAGGGGTCTGAAAGGAAAGTCACTGTGGATTTAATTTGAATTTCCTTGATGACCAATGATGCCTAGTAACTCTGTGTGTGTGTGTGTGTGTGTGTGTGTGTGTGTGTGTATGTGTGTGTGTGTGTGTGTGCGCGTGTGCGTGTGTGTGTGTGCATGTGTGTGTTACTGGGAATCGAATTGAGTCAGGGCCTTTGCACTGAGCTATATCTCCAGCCCTTTTTAAAATTTTTATTTTCATACAGGGTCTTGCTAGGTTCTCACATTGCCCAGGCAGAACTCAAACATAAGATCCTCCTGCCTCAGCCTCCCCTAGTGCTCAGAGGCATGTACCACCACACCAGCATGCTTAGCACCTTTTACGATGCTCACTGGTCAAGGTTTATTTGTAGATTATTTTGACATCTTATGTATACAATCCTGCCACCTGTACACAAGTATAGCTCTGTTTCTTAAAATTAAAACAGATTTTAAAATTGGTTTTCTTTGGACCTGTAGTGAAGTGGGGACGTCACACACTGACATCTCTCTCAGTCTCAGGAAAACCTCAGTCTCACCACGAACTCCTCCACCTCTGAGCTTAGAGGTGACAGTTTTCCTTAGCTGAGGATATTCCCTTCTATTTCCATTTGTTAAGCTTGTGGCCTAACAATCATGAGTGCAATTGAATATCATCCTCAGTGCTTTTTCTATATTTGTTTAGTTACCACATAGCTTTTTAAATTTATGTAGTCAATGGGGGGTGAAATATATTGCTTTTTAAGTATTGAATCAGGAGTGCCTTACTATCATAAAAGAGCTTGGTTAATATCTATTCTTTTAAATCATGAGATTTGATTTCCTAATATCTTATTTGACTTTGCCAAATTTTTACAACTTTATTCATGAGAGAGTTTGGTGTATAGTGTTTCTTTCTTGTAAAAGTTTTCTTTATTGTTAAATACTATATCAAATTTCTGTGGGAATCATAAAAATGGGTTTAGAAGTGATTTCATTTTATCTGTTTTTGGAATCAGTTGTAAAAAGATGGATTTTAATTCCTGAACTATTTAAGTAATTTATCAGTGGACTCTGTTTGGGCTGTAGGCGTCCTCTTTAGGATTTTAATTTCTATTTATGTGTTTAATGGACATATTGAAGGACTGAAGTTTGTTTTTTTCATGTGTCACTTTTGGTAATTAGTGTTTCTTAAAAGGAGCTT